CCAGATCTTATCACTTCTGAGCCTGGCTCTCTGTATACCATTACTTCCACAAATTACCTAAATAATAATACATTAAGTGGAATATTTCACTTGGAGTATTGTTTGACAGTAGGTGGTGCTAGTGTTCTATAATTTCCTTTAGTTCAAGAACTCTTATTCTTTATTCTGGCCACTAGACAAACTATTTTGTGTGCCTTTTTTATTTCTTCTGGCTTAGCTGTGATTTCACCTTGCTCATTTGCTATTTTGTTAATATGATTTTCTGATCTTTTCTTTTTAATCATATTAGCCAAGGATTTACCAATTTTATTAGACTTTTCAAAGAACCAGCTTTTAGTTTTATTTATCATTTCTATGTTTGTTTGTTTTTTGTTCCCAATTTATCTATTTTCCCCCCAGTTTCTACTCTCTTCTCTTGTATGCTTATTTTAGGTTTGTTTATTTGATGGCATTTAAATTTTTTAAATGCATTTTCAGTTCATTAATCCTTTCAATTTTGTTAATGTATGATTATAAGGATATGATTTTCCTCCTGAGGACTGCTTTAGCTGCGTCCCAGAAATTTTGGTATGTTGTTACATTATGATCATTTTCTTTTACATAGTTATTAATTGTTTCATTGATTTGTTCTTTGACTCACTCAATATTTACAATTTCATTGTTAAGTCTCCATTTGGATTGTATCTTTGTGGTCCCTGAATTAGTTTTTATTCTTATTGTATCATGGTCTATAAAGGCTATATTAACTATTTGTGCTCTTTTACATTTGTTTGCAATATCTCTGTGCCATAGTTCAGGGAGAGTTTTTATAAAAGTTCTACATGGTGCTTAAAAATATGCATTTTTTTTTTGTTATCCCATTTAGAAGATAGTATAAGTCTTTCAACTCATTTCTGTAGAAACTATTTCAGTTCCATATATTCCTTATCTTTGTTAGACTTACTCAAAACTGATAGAGGGATATTAAAGTCTTGTTTCACAACTGTATTCTATGTCTTCTTGAAGCTCAGATAATGTTTCCCTTGTGAATTTGAATGCTAATGTTTAATTTATTACTGATATTAGGATATTGTCTATGGTTCCTTTCAGTATAATATAATTTCCTTGTTTATCCCTTTTTCTTTTTGAATGCTTGTTTTTGCTTTGTCTGATAGCATGATGGCAACTTCTGCTTTTTCATACTCACTTGATGCCTAAGGAATTGTTTTTTTTTTCCATTCCCTTAGTTTTATTTTGTGTATGTCTTTGTTTTTTAAATGTATTTCTTGTAAGCAGTAAGGCTTTGTTTTCTTACCCATTCTATCATTCTTTTTCATTTTATTAGATTGTTTAATCCATTCACATTTAAAGTTATGAGAGTTAGGTTTATATTTCCTTCCATCTGTCTCTAAAATTGCTTCCTTTTTTTTCAAGTTAGGATTTTTTTTTCTTTTTTGCTATAAACACAGTATTTTGTTCCTTTAGTTACTTTAATGTTTTTCTAAGGTGGCCCTGTTCCCACTGGTTCTCTTCTCCACCCCTGATAACCTCCTCTCATTCGTTATACCCCTTTCCTTTTAGGATTTTGTTTATTAGTTCCTTTTGTCCATGCTTTTATCTGGTTATGTGTTTCTTCCCCTTCTCTTTTCTTCTCAGTCAGGTATATTTTTCCTTCTTCTCCTCCTCTTCAGATAGTCCTGTTTCCAAAAGGAATTTCTCTCAACTCTCTTCTTTATTCATTCTTTTCCTTCTGTTTACTCTAGATATGCATTCTCTGATTTCATGACCCCTGTAATTATCTAGTTTCTCCCTTTTCTCTGTATTCTTCATACCATCAAAACATCCAAGGTAACCATCCTAGGTTATCCCCTCTAGCTGCTTTTTGCCATGGCCTTCTAGGGCTTACCCCATGAATTCCCCTTTTCCATTGTGCCTCACTGTTAGAACAATCCTTATTGTTGCAAGTGTCAGAGAGAACAGCGCTCCATAGTAGGGCCCCTTACTCTACCCTATCTTGTTGACCTTTTTTTTTTCTTCCTACATTTGCTTGGAAATCTCTTGTGTCTATATTCTCCTACTCCTCCAGGTGCCAGTTGCCTTCTGGTGTTCCAGTTGCCCCCACTCCCAGGACAAGTAGACTTTTGAAGCCCCCAAACCCCCAGGACTTATCCAGTGTAAGGTTCTCATCTCCTTTCACCTCTAGGAACATTCATCTCCCACCTTCAAAATAAGGCTTCCTTCCTTTCCCTTTCTTTTCAGTCTTTTCCCGATCCTCTCTTCACCCGCTCCCCTGTAAGCTCTTCTCTTTCAGATACTTGTTGGTTTAGATTACCTCTGAAGTCACTTCTATTCCAGATTCTGTAATTCTACCAGTATTTCTTTACATATAGTAGATTTTCAGACTTTTTGAGCCTGAAGGAACTTTAGAAGGTCTAGCCCTGAATTTTTCAGAAGAAAGAGACTTAGATTAAGTTTCTAGACTTGTACCAGTAACATGTGTATGGAAGATATAGCTAATGTTCATCTACAGGCTAATGACTACAGAAGTGCATCGTGTGTGTGTGTGTGTGTGTGTGTGTGTGTGTGTGTGTGTGTGTGTGTTTATTAATCTTCTTGGTTAAACTGTTCATATCTGATACAGAAGGAGGAAATTTTCCCATCATCTAGTATAGGAACCAATTGTATTGGTTAGGAGAGATGAGAATCACCTTTCTTTCCGTCTTGGAGTACCAAGCTAGGCGAAGGAAGGAGTAAAACATCCAGCTTATTGCTGCCCTAGAATGGAGAGGTCTCAATAGGCTTCTGAAACTCAACATTTAAAAAACAAAAAATCATTTGTCTTTCTTCCCAAGCCCACTCCTCTTCCAAAATTCCCAATTTCTAATAAGAATATCCCTATCTTTTCAGTCACTCAGGTTCTCAACCTTAATGTATCCTTGATTATTAATTTCCCTTATCCTGGCATTTGCCAGATTTTGTTGTTTCTACTTCTACATTTTTTTTTTTCATCTGTCCCCTTCTCTCCACTAAGGCAGCTAGATGGCGCCATACTGCATAGAGTGCCAGGCCTGGAGTTGGGAAGATTCATCTTTCTGCGTTCGAATCTGGCCTCAGATACTTGCTAGCTGTGTGACCCTGGACCTGTCACTTAACCCTGTTTGCCTCAGTTTCCTCATCTGTAAAATAAACTGGAAAAGGAAGTGGCCAACCACTCCAGTATCTTTCCTAAGAAAACCCCAAAAGGTGTCAGGAAGAGTCAGAGAAGACGCAACAACTTTTCTGTATTCACACAGCTACCACTCTAGTTAAGTCCTTTATCATCTCTTTCCTGTACTATTGTAATAGCTTGCTAATTAGTATCCCAGATTGAGGTATCTCTTCATTCTCATTCATTTTCCTCATAGCTGCCAAAGTGATTTTTATAAAGGAAAGGTCTGACCATGTTATTCCCTTATTAATAGTATCTAGTGGTTTCCTCTTATCTCTAGAATAAAATAAACTCTTCTCTGGTATTTAATGCCCTTCACAAACAGGCCCTAACCACCTTTCCAGTTTTATTACATATTAAACTCTTCCAGTAAGGCGGCTATTCTGTCTTTCTCACTGTACCTTATACAGAACATTTTTTCTCCTGACTTTGCATTTGTAGTAGCTATCCCCCATGCCTAGAATGCATCTTCACCTCAGCCCCTTAGAATCCCTAATTTCCTTCAAATCTCAGTTCAAACACCACTTCTGCATTAGTCTATCAGTTAACATTTATTAAGTACCTACTATGTGCTGGGCACTATGCACTGGGGATACAAAAAGAGGTTAAAAACCTTGACCTCAAAGAGCTTATAGTCTAATAGAGGAGACAACAAGCCAAACATATATGTACAAACAAGCTATATACAAGGAAATAATTAATAGAGAGCACTAGAATTAAGAGTTGGGAAAGGCTTTTAGTTGGGACTTGAAAGAAACTGTGCAAGTCAGTAGAATCAGTTGTGGGGGGGGGAACATTCCAGGTATAGAGGAAAGCCCGTTGGAGGTAACAGATTGGAGGTCAGCAGAGAGGTTAGGGCAGGATGGGTAGATTTGAGAATCATCAGTAATTAAATCCATGATAGCTGATGAGATTACCAGGTGAAATTGTATAGAGGGAAACAAGAAGTGCCCAGGATAGAACCTTATGGGACACCTACATTTAGAGGGTATGACCTGCATGAAGATTTACCAAAGGAGACTGAAAAAGGAGTAGTCTCATAGGTAGGAGGAGAACCAGGAGAGAGTGTTTTCTTGAAAACTTAGGGAGAAAGGAGTTATCAGGAAGAAGAGGATGACCAGCATTGTCAGAGGCTGCAGAGAATTCAAGAAGAGTAAGGATGAAGAAAGACGCTTGATTTGGCAATGAAGAGGTCTTTGGTATCTTTAGAGAAAGTAGGTTTGGTAAAATGGTAAGATTGGAAGTTGGATTATAAGGGATTAGGAAGTGAATGAGAAGAGAGAAAGTGGGGGCACTTATTATAGACAGCCTTTTCATGGAGTTTTGCTATAGCGAGTAGGAAAGATGGTGGACATTAGTTAATTGGGGTGGAAGGATCAAGTGAGTTTTTTGAGAATGGGGGAGACATGAGTATGTATGTTTGTAGGCACAAGGGAAGGATTCAGTTGTCAAGAGGAGATGGAAGACAAGAAAGAGTGTTGGGGCCGTCTGTTGGAGGAGACATGAATCTTTTCCTGATCTCCTAGTTGCTCGTGCCTTCCTTTTTTATATCTGTCTGCCTTGTACATGTTGTCTACCCCAGATAAGTAGTAACTTCCAGTGGACTGTTCTACTTTTGTCTCTGTATCCTGAGCACTTAACAGCCTATTAGTTGCTTAATGCTTATTGATTGAAAAAAGCTTTTTTGAGAACTGCTGTGTTGAGAATACTACTTCCTAAAAAGCCCCAGAGCTGCCACTCCCATCATTTATATGTATATCTATACAGCATGCTAATGGAATATCATATATATACATTACTGTTCCTTTTGTAGGAATGCTTTGTGTGGAAAGCTTCAGTGTGAAAATGTGCTAGGTATGCTGCCTGTATTTGGGATTGTCCCTGCCGTCATTCATACTTCAATTAAGGGCACTACATGTTCAGGTGTGGATTTCCAGTTAGGATCAGATGTGCCTGATCCAGGCATGGTGAATGAAGGCACAAAATGTGATGATGGAAAGGTAATCCAAAAAATTTCATTTATTGAGTGGACTCTTAGATGCTTTCTAACAATTGAATACTTCTTTGAATTAAGAATATGTTTGTTTGTTTTTTTAAGATCTGTAGAAATTTCCAATGTGTAAGTGCCTCTGTTCTGAACTATGACTGTGATATAGAGAAAAAATGCAGTGGACGAGGGGTAAGTAATATAAAATGGTGTAAAATTTGGTTTTTTATATGTTTGACTTTTATAAGAGAATTATGAGCAGTGATATTGCAAGTTAAATGTGAACTTATTCTTTCGCATCACTTTTATTAATTTACCATTTTGGTTCAAAGAGACGTTGCCTCCAATATGTGTCATTTCAAAGATGAAATAATTTTCTTTGAAAAGATAACAATCTATAGGCTTATAGATATACATTTAAAAATACTGTTTTTCAAAAGATCTAGAATTTTATTGATATAGGTTCTCCCTCCACTGACACAGATACTTCTTCATGTCTTAGTAAATGATTTAATGAATTACTTTGGCCAAAAAAACCCCAAAATGATTTCTTTTTGACCAGTCTCTGCAGGGAAAATGTACTAAAAAAGATTCCAGGAATTAACCTGGAAATGAAAACATAGTATGGAAGAATTTTTACTTTTTTTTTACTCAAATAAAAAGAGGTTTTACTCTTTTTATATCATCATTCTTTAATTGTTCTTTTTTGGTGTACAGTTATAGTCTGTCCTCAAGTTTTGTACAATCCAGATTTGGGTAAAAATGTGGCAAGAAGTAGAATAGGATTTTAGTATCTCCCAAAGATTTTCTTCTTTTGAAAGAGGATATAAGTTTACATGAATTGAATCCTCCCTTTTCATTTCCATTTCTGGTACCATATTTTAGGAAAAGCAATGATAGACTTTTTTTTTTTCACTTTTACCAACTTTGGTGGTAAAAGATGGGTAAGAGAATGAAGGGAAGGACTTATAATTAAGGAGAGATGGAAAAGGAAGTTGAAAGTGGCTTTCATGGTGCTAAGTATGTGAGGAAAGATCTCCAAGGGAGTTGGTCATAAGAGCTACTAGCAAGGACTAGGCAACTTGCTTCTAGAAAGTACAGTGAGGGGCAGTTAGGTGGCACAGTGGATAGAATACCGGCCTTGGAGTCAGGAGGACCTGAATTCAAATCTGGTCTCAGACCAGCCACATGATATCAGCTGTGTGACCTTGGGCAAATCACTTAATCCCATTTGCCCTTGGGGAGGGGGGGAAAAGAAAGTACAGTGATCAGGGAGTATTTTCAGTAACCTAATTAGAATTTGACCATTGCCTGTCATGTAACAGTGATAGAAAACAATTGTTCTGTTAAAAAAGGAAAACAGAATGACTTCAGTGTGGAAGTAAAGAACAGAAGGATCTGAGAAGGAAAAGGTGCATCTTTGTGTGTGTCAGAGTAGAAGACTGCTGGGCAGCGGAGAAAAAGAATAAGGACCCATGAATACTGAGAACACAATAACAGATAGGAGTCTTTTTTCAGTGAGTAGAGAGAAGGACCTTCTTAGATAGAAATGCCTGTCTATCCTCCAAGGATCAATGATACGGATCCACAGGTCCTTTCAAGTAAGATCATCCTTGAAGGATCAGAGGAAGAAGAGATAATAGTGATGGCTTGGGACTTTGTGTTGAGGGGTCCTGAAGCAGCTACTTATTGACCTGTTGACAGCAGCAGAGAGATCTGCTATTTTTCTGGGGCATGGATCTAGGGCATGATGGAGAAGCTTCAAACACTGTTCAAATATGATAATTGCTATTCTGGTGCTTCATGAGACCACAAAGAAATCTAGGAAGTACTGGTAAGGATTATGAAGTATTGAGAAAGAAACCGAATATCTTTGAAACACAAGATATAACTGCCGTCAATAAAAGGCAAGGATTTCCAAGGATCTGCACTTTGGGGAGGTATATAGTTGAGTAAGAAAATATTGGATAATTTCTGAGAGTGAAATTTGGATTTCTGGACTATGGTTTAAAATACAGAAATGATAGGTTTTTAGCCAGTGGTAGAAAGTACCCAGCAAGACTGGTACATATTTAGAAGAGGTAAGCAAGGACAAGTAGCAGAGAATCAAAAAAAGCATAGCAGGTCAGGCTTCTGCAAGAATAATATCAAGAGGAGCAGCTAGATGGCTCAGTGGATACGGCACAGGCCCTGGAGTTGGGAGGTCCTGAATTCAAGTCCAACCTTAGACACATAACACTCACTAGCTGTGTGACCCTGGACAAGTCACTTAACCCTGATTGCCTTGCCAAAAGAAAAAAAAGAATAATATCAAGAATGCAAAAGGGTGGGGGAATCTAGGTGGCGCAGTGGATAAAGCACTGTCCCTAGAGTCAGGAGGACCTGAGTTCAAATCTGGCCTCAGACACATAATACTCACTAGCTGTGTGACTCTGGGCAAGTCACTTAACCCCAGTTGTGTCACCCCCCCCCAAAAAAATGCGAAAGCTTGGCATGAGTTAAAGCTGGTGAAAAAAAAAAAAGGACAACAAAAAGTGCCTTTTGCTTTTATTTTTGCTGTGTTTTTAGTCAACAAGCATTTATTAAGTGACTGCTATGTGCCAGGCACAGTGCTAAGTGTTGAAGGAAAAAAGGAGGGTCAAAAAATGTAGAGAGGACTACTATTCCAAGTGGATAGATCAATAATAGTTGATAACAGAAAATGTGACTTTTCAACTCTTAACTTTGCTTTTTTTCTTTTCCACGGATAAGGCTTTCTAGACCTGAAATTAAAAAGTTAAAAAAAAAATTACTTGATAGTTGATACTTACAAGACATAAAAAGAAACACCTTCAGGTCACCAGATCCAGATGAGCTATGTCCTAGGGTACTAAAATAATTGACAGATGGGATTACTGAGCCACTGATTTTGAACATATGCAGAAAAGAAGAGGGTACCACAGGATTACCGAAGGGCAAATGTTGTGTTTATTCAAAAGAGAATAGAATAGATTCCACCAACTGTACACAACTCTTAGACTCAGCTTAAATATTTTGCAAATTTTTAAAATATTTTAAAAAGAATCATCACTGATCTCCAAAAAACAGAACATGGACTTTTCAAAGAAGTGAGGCTAGACTAACTTTATAGACTTTTTGACAGGTTACTAGACTAGGCAGTGTGATGTAGTGGGTAGGGAGCTCACTGAGAAACCAAGAAGATCTGATAAAAACTGGCTAGTCACTCTAGGCTTAAACCTCTTAAACCTCTCAGTTCTCCAGGCCTCTCTCTAAGACTAAATTACAGAGAAGTTGCAGACCTACTCTGACATTTCTTCATCCAGTATTTCCCGGCCTATACCAACAAAATCATAGTCCAGTCCTTTTCCCTATTCTGCTCCCTATTCATTCCAAAGTAATAGTTCAAGGGAATTCAGGTGGCTTATATAATTTTATTTTCATTGACTTTAGGTACTTTTTAGCAGAGCAGTTGACAATCTAATACTATTCTTGTGGACAAAATGGAGAGAGAGAATGTAGTACAGTTTGGTAGATTGAGAACTGATTGAGTGATAGCTTATTATGGTTTGATGTCAACTTAGAAGAAACTCTCTAATGGAGTATCCATGAAATTTGTGCTTTATTTTGTTCTGTTTAATATATTTATCAGTGATTTGGATAAAGGTGTAGATGGCATGCTTGTTAAATTTGCAGCAGACACAAAGCTTGGGAAGGATATTTAATGTGTTGGATGAGAGTTAGGATCCAAAAAGATCTTGATAGGCTAGTTCTTTATAGAAAATAGAATTTGAAGCTCTCTTAAGAATCCCCATCTTCTCACAGTTTATCCTTGGTTTCTGTTAGATTTCTAGGTTTGATTTTTGTTTTTCTGTTGCTGTTGCTGATTTTCTACTTAAACTTTTTCTGTCTCTATTTAGTTTTTTATTTGATTTTTAAATTAAGTTAACATTTTTTTCAGTTAACAAAAAGCAAATTTTCTCCCATTCTCACTTTCCTGTCCTCATTGAAAAGGAAAAAAGAAAAAAAAACTTAAAAAATATACTTACTCAAGCAAAACAAATTCCTTCATTGGCCATGTCCAAAAATATATCTCATTCTGTACCCTGAATCCATTACCTCCCTCTCAGGAGGTGGGTAGCATGCTTTATCATTGTTCCTCTTGAATATGGTTGATCATTGGGTTGATCAGAGTTAAGTCTTTTGGAGTTGTTTCTTTTTACAGTGTTATTCTTGAATACATTGTTTCCCTGGTTCTCCCTTCACTCTGCATCAGTTCATATAAATTTTCCCAGGTTTCAATGAATCTATCCCCTTCATTCTTTCTTAGGACACAGTAGTGTTCCATTATATTCATATAGCATAACTTGCTCAGCCATTACCCAGTTGATGAGCATGCATTTAGTTTCCAGTTCTTTGCCACTACAAAAAGAGCTACTCTAAATATTTTTATACATCTGGCACCTTTTCCTCTTTCTTTGATCTCTTTGCCTCCTCTGCTTCTATCTTCCTGCATTGAGCCCCACTCACCTTGTGGGAGCGTGGAGAAGCCACTGAGAAAATGAAGGCCAGGTAAAGTCAAAGTTACCTGTAGGGACAGGCCTGACAGGTCAGTGTGAAGTGATAATAAATTTTAGAAAATTTATTAACACATTATAAACAAAGGAAGAAGAATTTTTAAGTGCTTATTATGTACCAAGCACTGTGCTGAGTTTTGAGATTACAAATACAAAAGCAATGATGATCACTGACCTCTGGGAGCTTATATTGTAATAATGGAAGAAACACACCTTGAGGTAGTAAGAGAATGGTATTTTGATTTGTAAAGTAAAAATGGATACATCCTTATAAGCAGCAATGATAGTATTGATTTGATTATGGTTCCAGAACTGGAAAGCTAGGTCTTTATGTATGTTTGTATAGGGTTGAGGAAGTGGAAGATAGCGCTGAGGTTGTCAGAATTGCAAGGTAGCTGTCAAGAAAATCAGTAAAGCCTGACTGGACCCGGCTTACCGTAGTGAACTCAACAGGCACTGACCAATCAGGACAGCAAGGCCTCTGGACCAGAGTCCCAAAAGGGAAAAGGTTAAAGAGGGTCGTTCCCCCACTCCAACCCTGCTCAACAGAAAAAGGACATTTTCATAATTTCAGTGTAGCGAATCTTTAGCCAAAATGTCACGATGGCTAAAAGTGGATTTATTGAATAGGATGAGCATGGGGAGGGTTCAGGCCTCTCTCTGTGATTTCGTTGGTGTAGGTGAGTGTGTCAAATTCACATAGAAATGGATCTCTGTAGGCTGCATGTTAACTTAGAAAAGCACAAAATAACATTATCTGTGTTTCATTGTATTTTTTTTTAGTTTTGTTAAACATTTCCCAATTATATTTTAATCTGGTTCCAGAGTTTCTGGTGTAGGGAACTCCCAGAGAACTCTGGTGTAGGGAGCTCCTGAATTAATAAGATCATCAGTTGTCTGCAACTTACAATCTTAAGAAAGTTGCCTGGGCCACTGAAATGTTGAGTATCTTATCCAGGGTCACACATACAGTATGTATGTGTTAGTGGCAGCATTTGAACTCAGATCTTCTTGATTCCTCTCAGTCCTCTATATTTCTGTGCCTCTTGGGTAATGGAATAACAATGTTATCAGTAACTTGAATAATAGTGTTTTAAAGGTTTATATAGAAAAGAGGTTTACAAAAAGAAATTGATTTTCTTGATTCTCAGGAATCTTAAGATACATATTAGTACAGTGCAAAGAGTGCTAGATTTGGAGTTCAGGTACCGCTTCTGCCACTGACTACTGAGGAAAATGAATCATTTAATCTCTCTAAGCCTCCATTTTCTCTTCTATAAAATAAGACAGCTGAACTATATGATCTCTAAAGTATCTCCTAACTTTATTCTTCTCTGATCTTAAGATGAAATTTAATAGGGATAATTGTATGTCTTATCCTAGGTTTAAAAAAAATCAACTTAACATATACATGATAGAGGAAGTATCCATGCTGCCTTCTCTCTGTAAGCCACATACATTACTACTTCCGTCCCCCCTCTCAGCAGAGGATCTCTAATATTTTACTGTGGAAATGGAGGTCATTTGTTGGAGCTCCCTTTTTCTCCTACTCTACTAATCTAATCCTATCATCAATCAATAAACATTTAGTTAGCACCTACCATGTACCAGGCACCATGCTAAGCGCTGCACATACAAAAAGAGGCAAAAGACAGTTCCTGTGCTCAAAGAATTTACAATCGAATGGATTGTAACAGTCTTAGCAACATCAATTTACATTGTTTCTTCTGCTTCAGTTTTAGAGGAAGAGGTGGTCCTTCTTGCCAAAGTCAACATGTCCAAAACAGAACTCATTATATTTCCTTCTAAACCCGCACTTCCTCTTAGTTTCCCTTTATTTGTTGAAGTCATCCTCATCCTTCCAGTTACCCAGTTTTTCAACCTTAGTATCATTCTACACTTTTCTTTCTTCCTCACTCCACGTATCCAGCCAGTCACCACATCTTGTAGATTCTGTCCACATCCTCCTCTTCAATCATATAGTCCTCACTCCAGTTTAGGTACTCATGACCTCTCAGCTGGACTATTGCAGTAGCCTCCTCATTATTCTCCTGGCCTCCAATCTGTCTTCTTTCCAATCTACCCAGTTGCCAAATTATTGTTCCTAAAACAGGCATGATCACATTATTCTCCTGTTGAAGAAGCTTCAGTGGCTCCGTTTTGCCTCTTGGATAAAATACAAACTCTTTTGTTTGACATTTAAAGCTCTTCACAACCTGTCTCTGGGCTGGTTCTTTTTAGACTGTTTTCACTTTCCCTTTCTTCCCCTTGCTCCCTTCAAAGTTTAGCTCAAGTGCCACTTCTTGCACTAGAGGTACACACATTGTTTTGCATAGATTTTGCATTCAATTATCTATATACATGGTTGTTTACCCCAGTAAAATGTTAAATCCTCATGGCAGGGATTGATTGATTTCTTGTGGTCTTTGTATCCCCTGACTTAGTACTGTGCCTTACACACAGCAGGTACTTAATAAATACTTGTTGAATTGAATTGCACTGAAAACTCAATCGGGGTGAGCTGGCAGCTGGAAAAGCTACCATGACTTTAGGCTGTTTATAGAGAAGTACAGTTGTCTGGGATAGGGAGATGATAGTCCTTTTGTATTCTGCCTCAGTGAGAACACATCTGGAGTACTGTGTTCAGTTCTGGGCACCATTTTTTTAAGGGGTGGACATTAATAAGACATAGAATATTCATAGGAAGGTGTCCAAGATAATGTAGGGCCTCAAAATCATTCAATTCAATACAATAAATATTAATCACCTACTACATATAAAATCAAGGAGTTTATATGCCAAGATGTAAGATATAGACATAAGGAAGGAAAACTGATGAAGGGAAGACCCTTAGTAACTGGAGGCAGGAGGCATGTAGAATAGAAAAGGCTTCATGGTAGAAGCTGATCCTTGAGTGAAGATGAAGAGTCTTAAGAGAAAAAGGTGAGGAGGGCATCTGGTCAGGCATGAGAGTTGGCTTTTGCAAATGCACAGAAATTGGAGATAAAGGGTGTTAAGAAGAGGGAATAGCTACTATTTCAGATTGGTTAGAAAGGAATAGTAAATGAATGGGAGTAGTATCAAGAATGGATCAATAGGTGGGATCTGGATTTCAGAGAATCTTAAATTCTAACTTCAGGAGTTTGTATTGTACCCTATAGGCAATGGTGGCCTCCAAAGCTTTGTCTTTCTTTTTTTTTTTTTTAATGTTAAGAAAATGATTTTGGCAGCTGTATGTAGAAGATGGATTGAAGAAAGAAATACCATTTAGTGGGCTGCTTCAGTAGTCTATGCAAATCCAGCGTTTCTGGGGATCAGATTAAAGAACTGGATATTTTAGCCTGGGGAGAGGCGATTTAAGGTAGCTCTTTTCAAATACCAGAAGGGCTTTCTTGTGGGAGGAAGGTTTAGACTTGCTGGCTGCTGAGGACAGAACTATGGGTGGTGGGTGGAAATTGTTGGAGAGCTGTTTTAGGCTTGATATAACTAAGAAGCAAAACAAATAAGCTTCTTAACAGAGCAGTTTAAAAGTAGGAGGGGTGGTGGTAGAACAAGCATCTATTAAGCCTCTACTATGTGCCAGGCACAGTGCTCATTAGGAGGTGTGTCAGTCTTCTGGAAAAGACTGGATGACCATTTGTCACATATTATAGAAGAGATTCTTGTTCAGGTATTGTGTGGTCTCTGAGGTGCCCTCCAACTCAGAGACTCATGATTCTGCGAGCTAGTAATGCTAAACACTATTTACAGTAAACAAAAATAGTTTTTTGTTTTCTTAAAGGTGTGTAATAACAACAAGAACTGTCATTGTAACATGGGCTGGGCTCCCCCAAATTGTGAGAATACAGGGTACGGAGGAAGTGTGGACAGTGGACCTACTTACAATGGCAAGTAATAAAAAGAAAAAAACCCCTAGGATTTCCTACCTTCCTATCTTTAATTGGTACAACAGAATATTGACCGTTTCATGACACTTGTTTTGCTTGATTGGAAAATGGAAGCTAGAAATAGATACCAATTAAAATCCTATTTTCAAGATCTGAGAAATGATTTGCCTGAATCATATATATAAGAAATAATAATTCATTGTGCGTTGAAATTGGATTCTATTCTAAAATCCAGACAGCTTTAATACCATTAACAGGAAAAAAAAACCCCAAAACATTTTAAATAAAATTTCTACCTCTTGTAATAAAATGGAAAAAGCACTGCCTGGATTTGAAATGAGAGGACCTGGTTTGTTTTCAGGTGTTGGCAGTGCTACATCCTAACTCTGGGACTTTGGGCAAGTCACTTCTCTCTCTGAGCCACAGTTTCCTCATCTGTAGAGTTAGGGGGTTGATGGTCCCCAAGGTCTCTACCTTGCTGTAAATCCTTTGTACCATACTTTTATAACCTCATAATCATTGTAAATTTAGTTTGCCACCCCTATTTATATCCATTCCCTCTGTTCCTTCAAAGGACTTAGAAAATTGCACTAATAAATGCTGCTAATGCTAATCAGTAAATAAGGGAACTATCTGGTTTAGTGGAAAGGATACTTTTCTGAGAATGCACTTGGATTCTTTTTCAAGGTCTGCTACCATTCCATTGGGTGACCTTGGGTAATTTGTTACTTTACTAGGCCTTACTTTCAGCCTCTATAAAAGTATCTTGGGCTAAATAACACTGAGAAAGTTACTTCTAACTCTGACATTTCATGATTCTATGAAATAATCTATGTTTTTGAATATGCAAAGTTAAGCCAACATATTGTTTAATTTAATGACCATTGATATGAAAATTCTGTTTTCTCTAGATAAAGACACTTCACTTCGGGATGGGCTTTTAGTGTTTTTCTTCCTAATTATTCCCCTTCTTGTATTTGCTGCCTTTGTCTTCCTTAAGAGGGATCAGCTTCGAAGAAGATTCTTCAGAAAGAAAAGATCCCAAACATATGAGTAAGTACCCTTTCTTTATTATAGTTAATGTTAGATGATAAATATGTATGGAATTTCTTAATGTGAATTAATGTGACAGAGGTTAGAGCTCTGGACTTAAGAGTTAGGAAGACTTGCATTTGAATCCTTCCTCAGATTTACTACTTGTGTGTGACCCTAGGCAAGTTACTTAATCTGTCTTAGTCTCAGTTTCCTCAACTCTCACATTGGAATTATAATAACCCCTGCCTCCCTTGAGTGTTGTGAGACTCTTTTGAGATAGTTTTTGTGTCAGCCTGACCTTGGGGATAGGCATTTTAGGAGGGAGAAGGGTCGTGATGCAAAGGAACCAGAGCACTTGGGAATATTGTTTATTGGTGTCTTGAGTTTTGAAACTATGATTGATAGTTGTTGTTGTTGTTGTTTTTTAATATATTTATTTCTTTTTAGTTTTCAACATTCACTTCCATAAACTTTTGAGTTTTAAATTTTCTCACCCTCCCTCTCCTCTTCCCTCCCCAAGACAGTATGCAATCTGATGTAGGCTCTACGTATATGTTCCTATTAAACATATTTTCACATTAGTTGTGTTGTGAAGAAGAATTAGAACCAATAGAAGGAACTACAAGAAAGAAGAAACAAAACAGAAGAGAAAAAAAAGCAAATAGTGTGCTTCAATCTACATTCAAACTCCATAGTTCCTTCTCTGGATGTGGATAGCATTTTCCACCATGATACTTTTGGAGATGTCTTAGATCCTTGCATTGCTAAGAAGAGAGTCTGTCAAAGTCAGTCATCATACGATGTGGCTGTTACTGTGTACAACATTCTCCTGGTTCTGCTCACTTCACTCAGCATTAGTCCATACAAGTCTTCCCAGGATTTTCTGAAGTCCACCTGCTCATCATTTCTTATAGCACAATAATATTCCATTACATTCATATGCCAAAACTTTGTTCAACCATTCCCCAATTGATGGACATCCCCTCAATTTCCAATTCTTTGCCACCACAGTAAGAGCTACTATAAATATTTTTGTGGATGTGAGTCCTTTTTCCATTTTTATGATCTCTTTGGGATACAGACCTGGAAGTGGTATTGCTGAGTCAAAGGGTATTATGGATGACAGTTTTAAGAGAAAACTTTGAAAAATAGAGCACTCTCACGCTTTATGTGGTGATAAGAGACAAATGTTCAGAGGCTTTAGCTTTGTGACCTTATCTTTTGTAGAACAGATGGAGGCAGTAATACGTGCTTGGCTACTTAGCTTGTTGATGGGTGTGCAATGGAGCATCAAAGAGTGCTTTTTTTTAGAGAGGCTTCTGTAAAACCTGGTGCACATCTAACCATGAAAACAATTTTTATTGGTGTTATTGAAGAAAATGTACAAGAATATAATTTAAGAGACCACTTTCAAAAGCATAGAAAAGATTGAAATCATAGAAGTTATGGAAGATTGACATAGTAAAAAGAAGAGAGGATTTGCTTTTGTGACTTTTGGTGATTAATAGCTACAGAATTTATGTAGCTGTTTATTAGGTACCTGCTGTGTGCCTATGGCACTATGCTAAGCCTTGGGGATAGAAAAAGATGCAAAAGACATTCCCTGCTGTCAAGGAACTTATACTCTAATGACGGAGACACTGTGCAAACAAATATGTACAAAGCAAGCTATATACAGGATAAATAGGAGATAATTAACAGAAGGAAGGTACTAGAATTAAGAGAGGGTGGGGAAGGCTTTCTGGAGACGGTGGGATTTTAGTTGGGAATTTAGTTGGGATTTTAGCCAGGGAAGTCAATAAGTAGAGTTGAGGAGGAAGAACATTCCAGCCATGGGGAGCAGCCAGAGAAACTGCCTGGAGCTGAGAAATGGAGTATCTTGTTTGTGTAACAGTCAGGAGGTGAGCAGCCTGGATTAGAGTGTATGTGTTAAGTGAGGTTTAAGAAGACTGGAAAGGGGAGGCAGAGCCAAGATGGCAGAGTAAAAAAAGTGACTTGCTTGAGTTGTCCCCCGAACCTCCCTAAATGCCAGTAAAAAATGGCTCTAAACAAATTTTAAAGCAGCAGAACCCACAAAAAGACAGACTGAAACAAATTTCCAGCCTAAGACAACCTGAATGGTTGATCAGAAAGGTATATCGTGCCGGGCAGGGAGAGGAATGCAGTTCGGTGTGGGTGAGCTGGCAAACTAGGCCTCAGCGAACCTAGAGCAGCCTTCAGAGGACTGAATCATGGACAGCTGTAGCGGTTTCCAGACTTCTCAACCCATGAATGCCAAAGACAACTTAGAAGGTCAGTCTGTGACTGCAGTGAGAGAGAAGCTTGGTTCCAGCCCCAGTCCCCGAGCGTGGCCCCGGGGCAGCAGCTGCTTCCAGCCCACAGACTGAGGGGGAATCAAATTGTTGATCAGAGGGGGATTGCAGGGATCTCTTTGCTGGTGCTGAGGCAGGATTCTTTTGCTTTGCCCATGCTTGGATCTGGGTCACAGTTCTGGGTGGTGGTCCTGGGGCAAGGAGGAGTGCTGGCATGGTGGAGCTTGTAGTGGTGGTGAAGAGGAAATCCTCCTCACAGTTCCAAGGCAGAAAAGAGTGCTTGTGGTCGCTTATGGACCAGAACACCGGCCAGGAAAGGAGTAAATACCTCACCCCTTATCATACCACCTTGGAAGAACTGAAAATTTACAGGTCCCTGGAAGTATCTCTGAAAACAGCTGCACAAAGCCCATGAAGCTTAGGACAGTACATTCTCCATACTGGAAACAGACTGGAAACCTTAACAAAGAGTTTAATAGTCAAGTAATGGGCTGAGATCATGAGCAAACAGTGCAAAAAAAGTCAAACCATAGAATCTTTCTTTAGTGACAAAGAAGATCAAAACATATAACCAGAAGAAGACAACAAAGTCAAAGCTCCTATATCCAAAGCCTCCAAGAAAAATATGAATCAGTCCCAGGCCATGGAGGAGCACAAAAAGGATTTTGAGAAGCAAGTAAGAGAAGTAGAGGAAAAACTAGGAAGAGAAATGAGAATGATGCAAGAAAATCATGAAAAACAAGTCAACAGTTTGCTAAAGGAGACCCAAAAAAATACTGAAAAAAATAGCATCTTAAAAAATAGCCTAACCCAAATGGCAAAAGAGGTCCAAAAAGCCAATGAGAAGAATGCCTTAAGAAGCAAAATTGGCCAAATGGAAAAGGAAGTCCAAAAGCTTACTGAAGAAAATACTTCCTTAAAAATTAGAATGGAGCAATTGGAAGCTAATGACTTTATGAGAAATCAAGACACTGTAAAACAAATCCAAAAGAATTAAAAAATAGAAAAAAATGTGAAATATCTCATTGGAAAAACAACTGACCTGGAAAATAGATCTAGGAGAGAGAATTTAAAAATTATTGGACTACCTGAAAGCTGTGATAAAAAAAGAGCCTAGACATCATCTTTCAAGAAATTATGAAGGAAAACTGCCCTGATATTTTGGAACCAGAGGGCAAAATAGAAATTGAAAGACTCTACCGATCTCCTCCTGAAAGAGATCCCCAAAGGAAAACTTCTAGGAATATTGTGGCCAAATTCCAGAATTCCCAGGTCAAGGAGAAAATATTGCAAGCAGCCAGAAAGAAACAGTTCAAGTGTTGTGGAAACACAATCAGGATAGCCCAAGATTTAGCAGCTTCTACATTAAGGGACTGGAAGGCTTGGAATATAATATTCCAGAGGTCAAAGGAGATAGGATTACAACCACGAATCACTTACCCAGCAAAACTGAGTATAATCCTTCAGGGGAAAAAATGGACATTCAGTAAAATAGGGGACTTTCAAGCTTTTTTTTTTTTTTTTTTTGCTTTTGAGTTTTATTTTATAAACAATTTTTTAACATGTATTTTTAAAACTTTGGGTTACAAATTTTCTCCCTTCCTCCCTCCCCATCCACCCTCATAGAAAAGGTAAGCATCTTAATCCAGGTTATAGATGTATAGTCATGTAAAACACTTCCGTAGTAGTCATGTTGTGAAAAACTAAGTATATTTCCCTTCATCCTATCCTAACCCCCATTTATTCTATTCTCTCTTTTGACCCTGTCCCTCCTCAGAAGTGTTTGCTTCTGATTATCCCCTCCCCTGTATCATCCCCCTGCTCTCTTGTCCCCTTCCCCCCTTATTTGACTGTAGGATAAGATAGATTTCCATACCCAATTGTGTATATTCCCTCCTTAAGCCAAATCCTATGAGAATAAGATTCACTCATTCCTCTCACCTTCCCCCATTTCCCCTCCACTGTAAAAGCCTTTTCTTGTCTGTTTCATGTGAGATAATTTACCCCATTCTACCTCTCCCTTTCTCTTTCTCCCAGTATAATCATCTCTCACCCCTTAATTTTATTTTCCAGATATCATCCCTTCATCTTCAGCTCATCCTGTGCCCTCTATCTATCTATATATACATATAATTTTTTTCCCTCCCACTACCCTAATACTGACAAAGGACTCATCAGTTACAAATATTATCTTTCCATGCAGGAATGTAAACAGTTCAACCTTAATAAGTCTCTTATGATTTCTCTTTCCTGTTTACCTCTTCCGTGTTTCACTTGAGTCTTGTATTTGAAAGTCAAATTTTCTATTCAGCTCTGGTCTTTTCATCAAGAATGCTTGAAAGTCCCCTATTTCACTGAATGACCATTTTTTCCCCTGAAGGATTATACTCAGTTTTGCTGGGTAGGTGATTCTTGGTTGTAATCCTATCTCCTTTGCCCTCAGGAATATTATATTCCATGCCCTGCGGTCCCTTAATGTAGAAGCTGCTAAATCTTGTGTTATCCTGATTGTGTTTCCACAATACTTGAATTGTTTCTTTCTGACTGCTTGCAATATTTTTTCCTTGACCTGGGAATTCTGGAATTTGGCTATAATATTCCTATGAGTTTTCCTTTGGGGTTCTCTTTCAGGAGATGATTGGTGGATTCTTTCAATTTCTATTTTGCCCTGATTCTAAAATATCAGGAGAGTTTTCCTTCATAATT